CTAGGCTGTGATTATATTTATGCCAATAATGCACGTTTGACAAAACGCCCTGGTTCAGACGCCTATTGGCGTCTGAATTCCAGGGTGTCGAAGATCGGTAGGATGAAGGGTGCACTAGCACATCGATTATTTAAAAATACAAACTATAATCAAAATTTTAAGTTTGCATTAAAAAATAATATTAACATGGATCAACTAAATATATTGTTTCGGATAAATAAATATTAGATTCTTTCCACTTTCCCCATTTACACACATCCCTCTTTCCCTTTTTTCCTGACGACGATGCTATGTTGGGTTCCCGTCCCGTCGTTGAACAATGCGAAAATATTTTGACATCTAAATTTTATTTTACTTATTTTGGCAACGGAAAGCATTGACTGAAACATAGCTCTTTTGTTCATCTTTTTCTTATTTCCGTGTTATGCAATCGTATATAAATTGAACTTGTATAAAAGCAGGTGCCTTTATAAAAGGTTGCATAGTACATCTTATTACAGTGGTGAAATGATTACCTGCACAGCGTGTGATAAAATTTTTTCACGAACTGATGCATTTAATACGTCATAAACGTCACCATTGTGTCAATCGTAATTTGAATCCACACGATGAAGAAAAACCATCTTGTTCTGGGGTGAGAAAGACCAAACGTTGTAAAATTGATTCACCTAGTGAAAGCAGTACCAATGAAGAAAAACCATCTTGTTCTGGGGTGACAGGGGCCAAACGTTGTAAAATTGATTCACCTGGTGAAAGCGGCAGCAATAACGACAACAGTAATAGCGGTAATAATATTTTCTGTAAAGAGTGTTTGGAATATGTACCCCGTCGAAATTACCAAGGACATTTGCGCAGCAATAAACACAAAAATAATGTCTGCTTCGCCGTCGATGATGGTGTTCATGTGATTCGATGCGCCTTTAAAAATAGATTAATCAGCTACCGCATGTCTCCAACCGAAACTCATGTTAATGTTTCTGATTTTATGAATGATATAAAAGCGAAAATTGTAAAAGTGATTAATGATCAGTTAAAAAGACACAACCCTTTAAAAATTAACTTTGAATTATTTGGCGCATATTACTTGGATACGAAGAATATCACCGATATCAAGTCTTTCCAATCAAAATACCAAGTAATCACAATTTCCGATCCCATTGAAGATCTTTTTCAATCTTTATCTGAAATTGTGGATCGAAAAAATTCTGAATTTCAACAAAAGGATTCTGGTAAGTTAAAGATGGTGTATTAATATATTACTAATTTTTGTTTGTTACAGGATGGACTTTGGTTCAACTATTGTATCTGGAAATTAACATTCTTAAATTCAACGCACTTCGGGCATCTTCCTATATACCATTACCACCGTTCATCTCAAACAAGAAGGCTGTTCTGAACATACAAAACAATGATGAATACTGCTTTGCATACTCTTTGGTTGCTGCATTATTTAATCCTAAAGGTTCACCCCAATTACCCTCATCGTATCCCAACTTCAGGGATGTTTTCAACTGGAATGGTGTCCAATTTCCTGTATCTATGAAGCAAATTTCAACGTTTGAAGCTAACAACATCAACATTTCGATTAACGTTTATGGTGTAGAAAAAATACTGAAAGATGGAACAACTTCATATGAAATTGTTGGTCCTTTATACTACAGTAAGTTAAAAAAACAGCATTATATTAATTTGTTGTATATTAGTAATGACATGGGTAATCAGCATTATTGTTTAATTAAAGATTTTTCAAAATTAGTCAGCAAACAATTAAGTAATAGTAATGGTAAAAAAATTTTTTGCGATGCTTGTATCCATTACTTCCGGACAGAGAACGCTCTGAAACGCCACACAGAAAGAGATTGCAATCAAGTTTATACCAAATTACCGAGTACTAATCCTAAGGTTGATAAAACTGGGAACATCTGTCCCGAAAATATTTTAACCTTTAATAATTATCATAAACAAATACGTCATCCGTTTGTAGTATATGCAGATTTTGAATCAATGATAGTACCCATTCAAACAGTTGAACCTAACCCTCTTCAATCGTTTTCAATACAAACCCAGAAACATGAACCATATTCGTGGTGTTATTACATTAAGTCCACATATAATGATGAATGGTCTATCCTTCGACAATATCGCGGCGTAGATGCCGCTACTAAATTTATAGACAGTTTAGAAAATGATATTAAGGAAATCTATCATAAACATCTAAAAAATCAAGTACCAATGCAACCATTATCGAAAAATGAGAAAAAAAGTTATGATGATAGCACAACTTGTTTCATTTGTGGAAATGAGTTTGTCAGTGGTTCTGAAAATGTTAAAGTAAGAGATCATTGTCACGTTACCGGTAAATATCGCGGAAGTGCTCATTCCCGGTGCAATTTAAATTTTAAGCTTCAAAATTATATACCAATATTTTTTCACAATTTAAGTGGATATGATTCTCATTTATTTATTAAGCATTTAGGTAACAAAACCGATGAAATTAATGTTCTCCCTCTTAGCACTGAAAATTATATAACTTTTAGCAAACACCTCTTTGTAGATGAAATTGAAGTGAATGGAAAAAAAGAAAAAAAATTTATAAACTTGCGATTTCTCGATAGCTTCAAATTTTTATCGTCATCCCTTGACGTTCTTTCTAGAAATTTAGCAGATGATCAATGCTCTGAAATAAGAAAATTTTTTAATTGTGATGAAGAATTTAAGCTTTTACGAATGAAAGGGTGCTTCCCATATTCATACGTAGATTGTCTTGAGAAACTTGATGAAAAAAATATACCACCTTATGATCAATTTTATAATATTATGAGGGGGGAAAATATCTCATTGGAGGAGTATGATCGAGTGTTAAATGTATATAATGTATTCCATTGTAAAAATTTAGGAGAATACTCGGATATTTATTTAAAGT